ACACTGATTAGACGAGGCCCTCATTTTTTCGCTCCTTTCTTCACGCCAAGTATTTATCCTGTTTTCGTGATAAAAACCGGCTCCGTGTGGAAGGCAAACGGTCGCCTCGAATTTAGCTAAGATCGTACTAGGATCACTTGTGCTTATTATCGCAGTTGTATAATATTATTTAATTCTTTTTTTCTTCAGGAACTATATCAGATTGTTATTTAGTACCGGTATCGTATACATATGACAGCGTTGCCGAAGGTGTGTTTTTGGACGAACTAATGGGGATACCCAAAGTAAGTTTCCTCTTGCTAGAGATATCTACAGGGGAGAGGGGCCAAAAAAGTCACTTCGACCGAGTCACATATCAGCAAAGTTTTCGCAGCCCAGACAGAGGACGTGGATACGAGTACCAGGGCGGAAGATACCCAAGATGTTCCTCGATAAGCAGGAGCTGGCTCTCGCCCATCACCTTCATGTACACCAAAATATGAAGTCATCTCCAGTCGCAGTCTGACTGGAGAAGACCTTTGGAATTCATGTCACCTCCAAACAGCTGCGAAACTTCTAGTATGGAGTCACCCATGGATAGCTACCTGGAGACCAGTACTCTCGATCTGGAAGACCTCCAACATCGAGCAGCTCCGACAACGTCGCCACGGTCTAGGACATCATCTTCACCACAGTCGCCAAGGCGCGGGTTATGGACGTACCTGGAATGGAAAGACCGATATTTTCTTCGTGGACCCCGGACTGAAGGTGAGCGCTGGCGGTTACATCGAGCAACTCGAATATCCTCCCCACATGTCGTCGCCCGTACCTTCTTGGAAACTTTGTACTGCTACAGGATTGGGTGACACCACATGGAATCGAAGGGCGTTGGAAAAACTCTCGCCTACTTGGAATGGAAGGGCGTTGAGTACCTGAAGAAGACGGAATATCTAAGTGTGTCACCTGACCTAAACCCCTTCGATTACCGGGTCCGAGCGGAGTTCAATAGGGTGGTCTACGGTGGCGGAGAAATCGACTATCTCGCTGATCTCAGGCACCACATCGCGGTCGCGTGCCAGAATCTCTCGATGGCGCTCGTCCAGTGTGGCGGAGTATCATAATAGTATTTAATATGCTGTTGAATATGGTGGTAGAAATGTCCGATCAGAATTCAATAAAGTGTAACTTATAACGCCTCGAAAGTCAAGGAAGAAAAGTGACTTTTTTGCCCCCCCCCCCTGTATATGCTGTGGCGGCTGCTTTTATTGCTTTTAAAATTTGCCGCTAGAGACGCAGGTACAAAAACTTTCAACGGTTAGCAACTTAGGTAATAGACGAGTAGTCGGAACATCTTCTCAACTCATTCATTCGAAATTTCATTGCGCAAGAACCCTGAGTGTGAAGTTTCCCCTGTCCATTCTAGCTGGTTCATTATAGAAACGAGAAAGTGTCCTTCGAGTGCTTTGCGGGTGTTTTGAGAAGTTTTGGCAAGTCTAGACGTTGTGGTGCAGTGCGGATGCATTTTGGAAATCCCGTCCTGCTCACGGTATGTTCATCTTTGACTTCCTTGTTGTCGTATGGATATAGACTTTCTCATTACAGGATTACATGAATGCACTTCACGAAGCACTGTCATCTCGCAATGTCATGCCTCAGCTGAGTCGTATTCCCCACACAGTGTCATACAGGTGCATCTTCGTTCTGTAATTGTTTCAGAAATTCTGATCCAGGAACTTCCATCATTTTCAGGGAACTTGTTCCCTGGCATGCAGGACATAAAGAAAAACCAGATGACAGGAGTTTAATACGAGCTATAGGCTACCATATTGTGCATGGTACTTGTTTTCTTCTACGATTTGTGAATTATTTTTTGTTTTCTTCCTTGTCACTTACTTTTTTCAGAGGCGCAGTCCATTATTTCCATCTCTTTGGTTTCTGTAATCTGTTCACTGCTGCTATGCAAGTTCCGCCAAGTTGGTTTTTTCCATATGGTCATATACGAGTTTGTCCATTATTTGCCGAACTTTTAAAGCTGTTGTGATATTGAGAGTTCACGCAATGCAATCTGATGCTAAGGCTCTTCTAAGAGAACCATATAAGATACGACTAAAGTTTCTGGGGGAGGGGTACATTCTTGCTGACAGGGATTGCAGCACCCCTGAGAGCTCTTGGAGGGCAATGGATACGACTATGGGAAGTAGCGAGTGTGCGAGGTGCAACCTCCTCCCCCCCCCAATCTCTCTCTCTCTGTCTGTCTCTCTCTCTCCAACCTAGCGCGCCCAAATATCTTCTCTCTGCATTACTGGAGGCTGTTCTCTGAGGTTTCTGAAAACGTTAAATTCCCTCGGAGGTCGAGGCACTTTTCTATCTGTTCTGTGCTATGAGTTCGTGTAAGTCCACTTGAAGAAGCTGACACCTCCGCTGTCTTCAAGAAGGATGTTAATTGCCAATCAGCTGTCTCGTTGGTATCAGCACTTGGGTTCTTGAGATATTTTATTCAAAGATGGCAACGTACTGGCGAAACTTCCCCGATGAGCAGTACATAAAAAGCGCCATTATAACAGGTCGAGCCAAGTGTTGTGGGCGAGTTTCGAAGTCCGCTTACGCTTTGAAGGGGCTTTTTAACAGATATGCTTGGTGACAAGAGCTGTTTTCCTTGTGTGAACAATGCACGCAAGGACCGCAGTGTCTCTCAGGGGGAAAGTTAGGCAGCGTTCATACTTCGCGACAGCAGCGGCGATCGCGGCGACCTCGGCGATCGCCGCGATCGTCGGTACATGGCAGAGCGCGCCCCAACGCTATTACTGTGCTCCGAAGGCTTTTGGGAAGAAGCGACTCAATTTCATGCTTTTTTCCTTTAACTGCAATTTTCTTAGGTACTGAAGCTTGGTTTGACACAAGGAAAGGTGATCCGAACTTAATGGCTTTTGTTTTCTATTTTCTTTCTTGATTCAGGATAGAAATGAGCAAAAAGTGTGAGAGCTTCATTTAGGGTAGGTTTTTATTGTTTCTTTTTCATTCGTTGAGCTTATTGTACATAAGGTTATAAAGTTTCACTTGTTGTTGAAAGTTTTCACTTGTTGATGTTGCGTAAAATGATTAGTGTTTTGGTTCTAGGTGAGTTTCTTTCTGTTTCTTTTTTTTCTTCGTTGTTTGAACTCGACTTGTAAACTAGGAATGTTTTGGAAGTTGGAACAGTTCAGACGATAGGAGTTTTTGAAGCGCTTGCATAATTGAAACAATAAAAACAAAAAAGAAACGGAAAGAAGCTCACCCAGGAAATGTAGTTGGTTTTATGCACCAACTAAAAAGAGTGAAACTTCCTGACCCTCATATTCCAGATCCCGCTCATGTTTAGAAAGACGTAAGTTATCAGTTAGTAGCTGTTATTGACAGGAAATAAGGTCACACAGGTTGGATTTCCTTATTTATTAAGCGAGCAGTCCATAATAGCGTTTGGGCGCGCTCTGTCACGCACCGACGATCGCGGCCATCGCCGCTGCTGTCGCGAAGTATGAACGCTGCCTTAGCCTGCTCAGTGAAAAACAGATAAAAAAGTTTTACTGTGTTACTGGGTTGTCAGAGCGCTACTGTTGGTCCGACTTGTCGACTACAGTGCCAGGGTGATAAAAAATTTTGAAAGGATAAAGTCTTCGTCCATTGATCAATCCCTTTGCGGGACGCGGCACGCATTTTACTTCCAGGGTTTCGATCGTAGTGGCTTTATTGAGTGCGATGAGGCCTATACATGACCTGCGGGCCAGGCGATGGGTGCAAGTCAGTGTATATTCCTCCCAGACCGGTCTGGCGTATCAATTCACCGCTTCCCGAAAGTATAAGGATTGGTTGACCTGGGCGGGAGTCGCCTGGATCTGGAACCCGGTGTCCGCGCAAGTGGAAGCGCAGACACGTTTGTCACTTACACCACCTCTGCTGCGCCCAGATCCATACGTATGATGAATTTTATGTATGCGCGTTCTACTGCATCAATCACAAGGATTATCGTCTTGACCTCTATAATTACGGAGCTGTTTGGAGACGAGAGGGGGGGGGAGAGAGAAGGGTACGGAAATGTTGACAGGTTTTACCATGATGGCTTGACGAGCTTGCTCCAGCTTCACAAGAGTTCACAGGTTTCACCAGAGTGAGACTTGTAAACCGAACTAGCGAAAGTGCAAAATGCCCCCCCCCCTCCTCGGCAAACTGCGCCTTTAATACTTCCTTTGGAAAATAAAAAAAATCAACAATCGGCCTCAATCCTAAAACGAAACCGAGTCTCAATTCTACTTCTATTGATTCTATTAATCATTATGTTGAGCTTAATTCAGGGTGTTTCTATGAGCGTGTTATCAGCTGACTGTCAATGGTTGTGTGATCAAATAGTAACTGACGGTACTGATGTGGTGGGGTGGCACAAAGGAGAAACATGTGGCCGAGATGCGGTTGAGGTATTTGTCTCGTTCCTAACTTATGAGTTTTTCCAAGTTTCCTTTGCGTCATGTAGATGGCTTCATATCTTTTTTTAGTACGCTTTGCCGTTCATACACACATCCTTTGACCGCCATCTGGGCGAAAATGCTGGTGAAGACAGCGTTCATCCTATTCTAACGCATCGTCAGCTGATGAACTTGGCATACAATAAAAATGCGCTCGTTCCTCTGTTCGCTCTACGCTCTGCTATAGGTTTGCTGGAATTTTATGTTCTGTTTTTCATTGAAACACTTCTCATTTGTAAAGGTAAATCACTGATTTTCGGCGCCACATTTGATGTCAGGTCATCTGAGCTTTTTGAGTTTCACCCGTAACGAAGCCCTTTCGAGATGTGTTTCGTGGTGCTTCATCAATTTGTCGCATCTGCGGTTTCGAGTCCTTCTATAGCTCCACAAAAATTCTCATTCATTACGTCCTTTGACAGAAATTTATAAAAGTCGACAAATGCTGCCTGTCTCGAAAGTGATATATCTTGAAGATACCGTACACTCACCTCCGTGGCCTGTCCTTGCCATGTGCGAAGTGAATGTAGTAGTAGAGTGCAAGTTTCTTTGCTCAAATGCACGGAACTGGACTGGAGAGCAGACTCGGTGCCGTCCGGCCAGCCGCTCCGCCTAGCCACTCCCTACCATGACGCCGGCAACGTCCTGCGCCTCTCACGATTCTATGCTCTGACTCTAAAGCATACTCTCGCTGTTCGCGACTTAGTATCCGACGTCATGCTGCAACTCTGGGAATAGCGTCGGGCAGGGATAAAACGCGCGGCGGCGCCCGTTTCCATTCACACCCGATCCGTATACTTTTGCCAGAAGAAAGTGACACGCTACTGCAACTGCGGTCTCACTCGCCGCGCAATAATGTTCATCGAACTCCGTTCTCGAAGGTGATGTTACAGCTTGCCCCTGAGAGAATCCGGAGGGAGGGGTACACTCGTGATTAATTACTGAATCGGCGGGTATATATTGAAACATGCCGGTTTGTTGAGTTTGCCCCGTAAATGCCCCATATCAACAAGCTGACCTACTTATCAAGATGGACAATATGTATAAAAGGATACAGGATAAAGTCTTCCGGCGTTGATCAAATCCTGTTGTGACTACTGCACGCATTTACCCCACTTAGAAAATCGTATGCTATAGAATGCCGGCTGTGGCCTATACAAATGTCTTGCGGTGCAGCTCGATGTAGTGTCTTATCATCACCCAAGACAAATTGTAACAATTTACCGTTTCCGCCGGAGGAAAGGCTTAACATCTGGCCTACCCGCGGCGTGTCGACCTGGGATTCCAGCCCAGGACCGGCGCGAGTGTAAGCGCGTCACTCACTACCACCTTCGCCTCTGACAGTAGTATATTAAGAAGTTTTATGTACATCATCTGGTTTGTTGATGACTTTTGGAGCGGATCAGTTATCGAACAGCTTCGGCTATGATTAACAGCATGGGGAACTTCATACCCTTCAAATGAGAAGGATCTATGGGAGTACACGCAAGGTGTAGATGGACCCTGTTAAGAGTTGCCAATTTTTGCTTCGGATGCCAAAAAATTGTTCAAAATGGTTCCGTTTTTAATATTTTGGAGCAGGAAGTTCCAGTGCATCGTGATCTTGCATTTTTAGGGTTGACCATGATTTCTCGCAGTGCAGGTCGCCACCTATTCGACGAGGTTGTGGAAGACATAGAACTTATATGTGACTGGATGCAGTTTGAAGTGATATTCTGCAAGGTGAAGTGTGTTGAATTGTTTTCCTGACCAACGCTTGAAGCGAGTGATTACAGCCGTGTGAAGATCTGAGAGCGGTGATAGCGATCGCTCTTGGTAGAGGTGGTGTGAGCCATGTTCAACATGGAGAGTTGAGAATGCATGGTGATGAGGAAGACGTCTTTGCTGGTGGTGACGAACCTCAGCTCCAGGTTCGTCATATAAGTCCTGCTTTCTTTTTCGTAATTCACGATTCGCGTCTTTAGCCGTGATTCTGAGTGGGTATGTGGCAAGAAAATCCGAGCTGGTAGGCGTGGAAAGCGATGCCGCGCGCATGAAAGACGACTCGTCCTACCCGGTCGTTCGAATTTTAGGGGAGGCGGTCGTCTGGCGCGATCACATTACAAGTGACGTGTAATGACAAGTAATGGCACGTTTCCGCAAAGTTGGACAACTCGTCCGAATCGCTAATGTGCGGTTTTCGTAGTTGACAGACTATATAATGTCGTGAGTATTATCTGCGGTGTTCCTTCTCATCCGGGGCATCTCCCATTGATCAGTCGGGAAGTGAAAAAGCTGTAGTTTAAAATTTGCACGAACTGGTCCTGCCTGGAGACTTTCGTCTGACATGTTAATTATTTTGACCAAGTTTTCAGCGCGTAGATGTGCCCACGACACATCACCTGAATATTGAGCGATTAATGGAAACAGAAAACTATAATCTTTCGACATGAAGTCACTCTTATAAGCAAAGTAAGAGCAAATTTGGTGATTGTTATCCCAGAAGACCACTTTTTTCCGTATTTTCACGAATGATCTTGGTCCAACGATACTATACGTGGCCCATGACGGTTGGACCGTCAGGGACCAAATGTCTAATTCTAAAGTGCCTAAGCAGCGTTCGTCTCAAATCATTTCCACTTGTTGTAAAGGTATTAAATAAAACTGGTTCCTCAGTCCCATTGGTCAACCCGATGATTCAGCTCATCTTATGAAAGCCCTCTTCGAGCGATCTGGCTTCACTGGAGTGATACAATTTAGACTTATTCATAACACGTTGACGACAATCGCGTTTTGCGGGAAAGCGCCGCGTGGGACAATGGCGTGTTTTCGCATGCGTCCGCTTTGAGCCACCGGTGGCTCATATTGTCCCTCGTGGACCACTTTTTTGCCGCTATGTCAAATTTCGCAAAATGATAGTCAATCGTGCAGGGACTGCTATTTCAACCATCTTGACCCTATTGGATGCCATCTCATGCCCCGCCCTCTGCGATCACGCCCACTTTTTAGCGCGATCGTGATTTCCAAAATGTGTGCCATAACTTCTGTTTCTAAGAATTTTCTTGGAATTTTCTGCTTTTCACACATTACAATGATTCATAGACGGCCACACCGACACATAGCCGTCCATAGTCGGTGTCAAAAAGATCGCTGGCGCACGCTGGCGCCAGGTGGCGCCAACACTGGAAGGCAACGATATTCGTGACAAGGATGTCAAATAACCTAGCTATGGAGGTTTCTATCGCATTCGGTGCCAAAAAGACTGCTAGCGCCGAAATGGCGCCAACGACAAATAAGATCTGGCGCCATATGGCGCCAACGACAAATAAGATCTCACGTTCATGATCAAAGCCCCGCGCAGTCCCTGCAGCCAAGGTTCCGTCCAAAAAGAACTATTTTGGAGGTTTCTGCCGCAGCAGTAGCTAGTTGAAAAATTTCAATTTTTAATTCAAAATATCCCATGGAGGCAGCAACATTTTTCTTGCTCATCCCTGTTGGACATTCACCTTTCACAGGTTATTCGAAAGCAAGAAAAAGATCGATTGAGACTGCCGGCAATAACCCGAAAAGTGATGGAGAAAGTTATGAGCCACCGGTGGCTCAAATTGTCCCACGTGGCCACTCACTTATGAGCCACCGGTGGCTCAGAATGTCGTCAACGTGTTAAATAACTGCTGTTCGGCCTCCTCAGTCGGGTTACGAATCCACACCTCACGCTTACCGAGAAAGTGCTCTGTTTTTTACTACAAAGAAGCCGTCCCCTCATCCCTCGCAGGGGAGACGGACAAGACAATCGTAATCTATTGCGCCTTCGCACGCGTTACATCGTGCGGCGTTGCGCGGTGGATTCTCGATGTGTGTATCATTTTGTTGATTGCAGCAGAAAACTCATGTGAATATAAGGTAGCTAAGATTCCATGCCGAATGATATTGATCTTTCCCTTTCCCTTCAACAC